GGGGGGGGGGAATTGTGACAGAAACTGACAAGTGTGTAAGGCATAGTTTATGCCAGTCATTATGCCAGAACATTGATTCTTAACTGCATTGAAGTCTAATAACAAGGTGCTGCCCCAACTTTACTAACATAAATCTACAACAAATAATTCACCTTTGAAAATGCTGCACTCCAAGAGCCCCCAGGGATTTCAATTATGCATCCCTTAAAAGCAACTGATCCTGTGCACTAATGCCATCTGCTGACAGGAACTTAGAACTACAAATTTGTCATCTGGGAGGAAGGCAAGATGTTCAGGAGTTTGGGGTCCTTCTGGTAGGTGGGTGAGATGCTATCTCAAATAACCAACAAAAACAAACAACTACTCTCGCCATCAAAGTGGAAATGTTTTATACTGCATATAGAGTTCAGAGGAACACACTACAACTTAGTTAGCTGAGTTAATTTCAAAAGCAATTGCTAAGGAAAACCCTCTATCAATGTAGAATTCTTAAAATAACCTGTAACATGTTGGACACTGCTATGTTCTACTTACTTTACAGAACCTAGAAACTGGATTGCTCTTGATTCACTGTAGCTGAGGTTCTTGTAGGCTTGGCTGATCCATGGAGAACATTCCAGGTCTGCATTGAGAACTTTTTTTTTTTAACTACTCAATATACCCAATTGGGTTTAAAGCTAGAGACCAGGGCTGATACCATCACTGTCCAGAACAACTCTGACCATTTCCATTGGAATTAATAACTGCAGTCACAGGAATCAATCTACATCACATTCACAGGCAGTGATGAGCTCGTCAACAAACATAAAGCACAGCAGTAGCCTTTGGGAGTGCGTCCAGATCATTCAGCTTCTGAAGATGGAGAGTGCATTCCTGGCAGTTAAATGTGGTACATCTTTTTTAATACATATTTTTCTCTTCGCCTACCATGGAGAGCAGTTCTGTGGCACAAAGAGAATCTGTAGCAGCCACAGAACTCTGGACAAGCGGTTCTCGAGGCCAGTCTGATCAACACAGTGAGTTCCAGCACAGCCAGGGGCTACATAAAGAAGCCCTGTCTCAAAAAACCAAAAAAGTGTAGTTCAATTTTGTGTTAACATTGATGTGGTTTGGGGTTGGACTTTAAACCCTGATAGTTTTTAAACTATTAACGTGGTTTTAGACCTTTCCCCTCAGAAAACGTTTCTAAGTGCATCACAAGGATTCACTATCAACCTGTAATGTGTACCACCACCAAGCTCAAGTTCTAACTCCAGAATCAGAAATCTAGGCAATAGTGAGCTTTACAAACCCAAAGCCCTGCCGTTGTCACTGTGCTGCAGGAGGGAACATGGTCCGTTTGGATGTCTGTGACCCTCTTCAGTTCCACACAAGCTAAAATTCTTGGCACCAGTGATTCGGTTTGCGGGTCTGTAATGTTTCCACAGACTGACTGCATGACTGCTCCTCCCCCAACACCCCAAATCAGAGTGTTGTCATGAAGGCTCTTCAACGTTTTCAGATTTTAGATCATTGCAGAGTTCAGACTTTCAAACTAGGGAAGCTCAACTTGTCACTACTGTTTACAAGTTAAATCTTACCTTATACTTTGGTTTCCTTTTCATAAGGCCTGTATTTATGAGCTTGTAATTCAGTAATCAGGACTCCCTGACTTTTATTGTAGGGACATTTTCCTATCCATCTAATGTGAGAATCACAGCCATTTATTGAATTATCCTTCCAAACATCCAGTTTCAAAATGAAGACATAAAGTAGAGTAGCTGTTTCTACTCCCAGCCCCTGAATGAAGACGCTAACCTGCTGTGGACATAAGAGTTCAAGCTGGTAACGCTCTGAAACTGGTGTAATCTTAAAGGTATAGCAGAATAGATTGGCAAACTGCAGAATCTACTCTATGAATAATGGCTTGTCGGGGTAAAACTGAATACTATGTAGTTAAGGAAATTTATCTTTAAAAGTCTTTGACAGACATGAAAATCATGATTTCTTTTGAGGGAAACTAAAGTAACATATAGTCAATGGTAGCTTAGAACAAAAGCAGAGCCATGTAATGATACCCTCTGAAAAAATAGCTGGCCTAAAAACTAACGTTCAGTGATTTAAGACTACATTTAGGACATGTAAGACTGAAGACTAAGAAGACCTATGATAGAGTAGTGCAAACTCAAACTTGACATTTGCTATCATCTTCACTACAGTCCTTTATGCTACATAGAAATGAGTTACCGTGATTTGCAAATCACAATTGGCCAGGACAAAGGGAAGCCAGAAAAAGCAGTGTAAATACAAAGTACAGCATAATATGCACCCTCCTCCTGTTTCAATAATTAACACACTGGTAACCACTCCATTTCATGAAAGGAAAACATGAGTTACGATTTGAGTAAAAAGTATTTTTATGGGAAAAAAAAAAGAAGGCTGAGCATCTTGCCTAGAAAAATCCTTTAATATCTCACGTTACCTAGTACAGTAAAAGCCTTTCAAAATGCGTTGAGAATTCAGTTTGCATGGGAAATCCACTTGCCTCAGAATGGCTAGTCATCTTTTTAATTGAACGATTAAGTGGCAAAATCGTTCAGAACAGAAAAATATAGTATCTTCAATAGACATCTCAAGACAATAAAGTTCTATTTACAGGATGCTGTCTATAATCAGATATCACCAGAAGCAAAAATAAACGATCATTTCATTGTCCTTTCTCTCAGCAGCAGGTTATGGCCACACACTAAGGAGAGCCAAGAACCAAAGAAATGTGCTCCAGGTGAAATAAATTTCCCAGAACAGCTGTCATAAAATAGTTTTCTTTCCCCCTGAGAATCAAGTAGATCAATCATTGGATTGCATGAGACAAAAACGAGCTCTAAATCCACTATCATGTAAGATCAAAATTCTGTAGGCATTTCTATTTAGAAAAGCTAAAATGTACAAATGATAAAAACTAAATAGCAAGACACGGTGCTTAGTAGTACCACGAAAGAAATTTATGGTATTTGGTAAAATATACATGTGATATTTGTGGATAAGTTTATTGCTCTTTGATGGGCTATAGCACCACTCTGAGGAATAAAAGATGGTTAGGATTAACCAGCCTTTAGTCACAATATGTGTTTCTAGTAAAAGTGTTTCAGAAGGAGCGCTGAAAAGCCAAGAAACATTTGCATTATGTTTTAAATGTTCTCAGCTTCATTCAACGAGTGAATTGGGATCAATCTTAGTATAAGTAACTTGTACTGGATTTGCTACTGTCAGGCTGATGAGTCAAATATAAAACCAAGGAACTCAAGTTAATCAAACTTACAAAAAGTTAGTACACTGCAAATTTTCATGCCAAAAGAAAATTTTCTGAGATAGTTATTGCTTAAATGAGCAGTGGCTATACATGTGAAATCTTCAAAATCGTGATTGATAAAATTTCTTTAGTGTGCTAAAATTTATCCTAAGGGAGAGAGAAATGTACAAGGGCTATGTAGATACTGTCTACTCACTATGGAAAACAGGCCAATTTCTCTCGGAACTATTTTAAAAACTAGTATCACCATGGTGATTTCAGGATTAAGAATAAGAAAGTAACATCACACATGCTATACAAAGTCAGCCCAAATAATGATTTTTCAGCTACTACTTTACTCAGTCTTCAGAAAGTATAATATGAAGTAAGTTTCCTAAATCTAAAAGTTGTGAACAGATAGACTGCTATGCAGAAGCACAAAGATATTTTAAATGTAATCTTCTATAAGAAGTAATTAAAATTTCAAAGCCAAACAATCTAGCATCAAGTATGATTTCCTCTGAGACTGACTTTATCCACAAGTTTTCTTCCTTCAATCATTTGGATTAATCAGCATTCTCCACTGGTAATCTTTTTGAGAAAGTGGGACACTATCTCCTTTCAAGTAGCTTGACTTTCTAAAATGACTATGTCAGGAGTGGAATTTCTAAAAATAATTCTGCCCCGCATAAGCATCAGTCACTTTTGGAAGCAGGCACAAGAATTCTCCTAAGAGTGGTAAAACTTGAGAGTGCTATGCAAGTTGTAATGCAGCATGGTCTGTCCACTTGGGGGTGGAGGGTGTCATATACTGAAGGCTGGCAAGGAAAAAGAAAACAGTCTTACACTGTCACCAGACATTTTACAAAGAGAAATGTCTTAATCTTGCTTTCAAGTTACACACACTCTCTCTCTACTTACATATATATATATATATATCTATATATATACATACATACTTTTTTATTGATGGGGTGATGCAGAAAGTCACAAGTGAGAAAAGGACACTAAGTTTTAATAAAGGGAACATAAAGTCGTTTTCACCAGCATAGGTTCACATTACAGAACACCAGTATCGACAGCATTCTCTTGTCTATTTTTGGTACAGAAGATGGTATCTCTCTACACAACCTGGTAAGGCTTCAGTAACTAAAACATAAAACAAACAAACAAACAAAAAAACCCAAACAAAACAAAAAACCCAGCCTATTAAGTTTACAGTTTATTTTAAAAATTTTGAAAGACACTGCAAGTTCTAAACTTGAGTAGTGCTACCCATACACAACCATCTGGTCAAGAACGCAGTAAAAGCACACCCTTTGGAGGGAGCTTTGCAACAGTAGAGCAGTGCAACAAGAAAAACTTATACATGGCACATTCTCTTCATATTTTGTAATGTAAAAAGTTACAAACATACCTAATCAAATAAATAATAATAAAAAAGAATTTGATGTATTTGTTAAGTATCCTAAAACCACTACATAGAATAATGGCAACTTTCACTCACAGATTATTTACATGGTGATACCCAGTGTGGGTACATTGCTACAAAACTCAAAACAGAAGGAGTAAACTTGAAATGTTTTCCTGTAAAGATCTAGCAGCATGACTATCTAATGCTGTGTTATCCCATTGCTTCTGAAACGGTCCTTTTTTAGTCTGTGTCTTCATCCAGTTCATAATTGTCTTTATCATAAATATCTTTTACTAGAAGAACCCGTACAAGCATATTTTCCAGGGTGTTCCGGTCCAGGGAAGTAGATGTGTACCACACAGGGCTATCTGTAGAACTAGAACATTCTGGTTGCAAATAAAAAACATCCATTCTCTGATTAAGATTCTGTGGACTTTGGAGGAAAAGAGAAAAGGTCAATTTCATAAAACACAACAAAATTCCAATTGACTTTACTTCTTTCAAGAACAACTCAGCCCCCAGCAACAGCTGTGCTCAGCACTTTTTTCTGCCTCATTAACTGCAGTTATGTTTTATCAGTAAACTGTTCGCTAAGCTTTTGTAATAAAAGGATTAGTTCCCTACTATAATTTAAACCCTATTTTCATAGAATCCAAGACTGCATTAATATATACAATATTATTTTAGTCATTATAATGGTGCCAATTATAATCTTAAATGCATTAATTTAACAGTGCATGTCCATTTCAGGAAAAAGGAAATGCGAAAATATGACTTAAAATGATGAAAATATGCAACATATAAAAAGCATTACAGCATTATACAACAGAAAAAAATTAAATACCAAAAAGACAATACTGAGAAAGGAATTCCCATCTGGTAAGTAGTTACCAACACTGGAAATCCATGAAACTAAACTGATGCTCCAGAATAGAGCTTAAAAAACTACCTTTATACCACAGTTAGAAACATAGGCATGCTAGAGGTGAAGTTCACATGTTTACAAGTTCTTCAAAGCCACCCCGGAAACCGCACTATGATTTGCGAAGTTGTTTACAACGTACAACCCAACTCTGCACTTTATGAAAGTCAGAGTGCTTATTTAAAACACTCAAAATGAAAGCGTATGACAGCGCCTCAACACTTCAACAGTTCCCAGAGCCTGTTAGTTCCAGACAGGGCAATGCGGCAGTCATGCAACTGGGGGACCTTCCAAAGAATGTCTTTAAAAAACTGTTCTCATTCACATCTAGGGATTTTATTTTCATCTCTACCCATTGTACCTACGTTTAAACATGCCTACCTTTGCACTAGGAACTGACAAACAATGGCCAGCAACCTGTTTGTATAAAGCCATGTGCTGTGAACTTATTATTATATAGTATATGGCCTCTGTCTAGTTGTAGTAGGACAATCAAGTAGATAAAACAGAGATTAAATACCCCAAAACCTAAAATAGTTATCTCTACACAGAAAGTTTATGTCCCTGCTCAGCAATCAACAGAACCGCTAATCTCTAATATAAAAGATGACAGCAGGAGTGATATTTTTAGCAAAGAGTGGTTTCTTAACACCAACGATCCTAAAGCATGTGTGTTTAGGTATTTCCAAATGGTTGAATATAACTTTGGAATATAAAATTCCAAGAGAGAAATCTTAAAAATTGATCAAATACTATCACTTCCTTCATGCTTTTTGTATGTGTGTATAATACATATTGGTTTTTCAAAGCTGGGATTCACTGTGTAGCCCTCGCTGTCCTGGAACTCTCTGTAGACCAGGCTGGCCTTGAACTCAGAGAGCTTTCTGCCTCTGCCTCCTGAGTGCTGGGATTAATGGCGTGCACCACCAGTGTCCAGCTTGCCATCACTTCGTAATTAGTGTTAAATTCAACCAACTTATACAAACATCTTAAAAAGTCAAGTATCAGGCTGAGGATGCAGCTCAGTGATAGAGCACTTATCTAGGATGCATAAGGTCACAAGTTCAATTCACCTGTACTACAAAATAAAAGTAAAATATCATTAATGTTCACCTTTTAGACAAGTAGCATTCAAACATTTTCACAGGACATCTAGAAGGGTTGGCTGTGTTTTCAATTTGTTCAAATACTGGCTCATCATCTTCATGTTTTCGTTTTCCAGTAGCAATTTTATCTTTAAAAAGCAACAATAACAAAAGTAAGCCTCCTAAAACCAATCTTTTTTTTCTTTCTTGTATATATGTGTATGTATGGTATGTGTATGAATATGGGCACAGTGAGCCACAGCATATATGTGAAGGTCAGAGGACTTCTGAAAGTCAGTTCTTATCTTCCACCTATCTGAGGCAGGGCCTCTACATCTGCACTGCATACTCCAGGCTAGCTGGCCTATGAACTTTCTGGTGATTCTCCTGTTTCTGCCTCTCCTCTCCCAATTGAGTGCTGAGATTACAGATGCACCATACTGTATCTGGCTTTTTATGTGGGCTCCAGGAATTCCAATTCAGGTGGTCAGACTTGCATAGCCCACTAAAACCAATTCTCAGTAAAGACATTACTATTTATCCATAGCAACATAGGATTAGGTTCCCTTCAGAGTTTTCTATGTGGTAACTTTTAATGTATAATTTTCCAACAAAGGAACTGAGAGACTGAGAATATAGCTCAGTTGGTAGAACGCTTGCCTAGTATGTCGGATGCCCAAGTATGAACCCCAGCTCAGCATAAAAACAGGTGTAATGGTTCATGCCTATCGTCAGCAAAGGAAGAAGGACCACAGTTCCAAGGTCATTCTTTGCTACATGATTTAAGGCCAGTCTGAATTAGAAATCCGATCTCAAAAAAAAAAATTTTTTTTTTTTTTTTAAAATACAACAAAAGAAATAAGACATTTTAAGAAGATACAGTTTGAAGGCAGAGGCAGATGGATATCTAGGAGTTTGAGGCCATCCTAGTCTACACAGGGAGTTCCAGACTAGCCAAGGATACATAAGTGAGACCCTGTCTCAAAAAAAAAAAAAAAAAGAAGGAAAGGCACATTTTGTTTTATGAAAACAACTGTCTTTATGCTCTTAATGAATAGGGCTTAATAAGGTGGATTTTAATGAGAAAAAGTTTGAAAATTCCCACCACAGATAATCTCAAATAAAAAGGCTACATTATCAGGGCCAGTGATGGCTCACAGGTTAAGAGCACTGATTTGCTCTTGCAGAAGACCTGGGTTCAGTTCCCAGAACCTGCATGGTGGCTCACAACCATTCACACCTCCAGTTCCAGGGTATCTGACACCATTTATGGCACCCTCGAGCACTGCACATATGTGGTGCACACATACATTCATGCAGGCAAAATACATTCACACACAGAAAATAAAGATAAATGTTGATTTTAAAAGAAGTTACACTACCTTCATTATCTGTTCCACATAAGGAAGACACCTGATACCGAAGACATGCTTTATTTTCCATCGTTAAAGGATTTTTTTTCCAATGCCTAAACACGGTGCCAAAGGAAAGTCTTAAGTGTTGCTCCACTGTTTTCAGGCCAAAATACTTAGTGTTAAAGTAGAACAAGGTGTTCAAAAGAGCCACTGGAGAGTGAGATCCCAGCTGCTTTATCCTCCAGAGATAGTCTTCTTCAACTCGAGAGAATATGGAACCTTACATAGAGAGAAATGTTGTAAAAGAATTATAACTACAACAGCTTTAATTTAGCCATCTACAAATAGAAGTGAATTTAAAACAGCCCTATGCCAATCCACTATTCACACTGGGTCAATGTGAATGAACCTTAGAATTACATATTAGCTCTTTTAACAATACAAGGGTTGGGAAACAGTCTGTGGAACCACCATCCACAGAGTAAGGTACAGGATGCTTGTTCCTGTCCTTCAGTAGGACAAACACATCAGTAAGTAATTAAAATCTGTATAAGTCTTGAAAACATGTGATTCTCATAATCAAATACATTTTCTTCCTATCAGAATCTATATATTGTAGGTCTTAAGACATAAATATCGAGCTTTGCCCTCCAAATAAAGTAGGTCACAGGCTTTACGAAGTTCTTCACAAACATTAGTTACTGATTATGTTTATTTGCAAATGAGCTCATGAGCACAAGTTCATACATCCTAATTTGGATTATTTCCTAATTATATTTGACATACTTTCTGTAAAAGTAATAATTCCATTATCAACTATCAACACATATTTAAAACAGCATTACCATCTGGAAGAATGCTTGGTTGCCAACTTCGGAGTATTTTATTCAATTCTTGCTCAAACATCTGGTATCCTGGATCAATAAATATGTTGTCCTTTCGATTACTACCACATAAGTACTACAAAAAAATTATTGAAGGAAAACCAGCTAATTATAAACAGTGAATGTATTACGCTTTTCATTTCTTAAGAAAAAGTTTTATGTTTAAGAAAAGCAAGGATTCTAATAAAACACAAGAAATTATTGGCCTTGGGTATGTGTGTACAAACTGAAAAAGCATAAACTACCAAATAACTATTGCTTAAAACATGAAAAGCTGGAAAGCATAACACAAATCCTGAATGTAAAAACTAGATAAGAATCATCAATATGGAGCCATAGAAATGGCTTAAGCAGGTAAAGCATTTGCCATGCAAAAGCCTGATAACCTATTAAGGTTCTCAGAACCCACACTACAATGCTGTCCTCTGACTGCCAGCTGTGCAGTGTGGCACGTACATGCTTCCCCCACGTCTCCCTCTCCCCCCCATCTCACACACACAAACACAATCACACCCACACTCATTAGTCTGTCAGACAAAATACAGAATGACTCTAGTTTATATTACACATGGAGAAAAATAGACATTTTAAAGAATAATTAATGATTGAAGGAAAACACTGAGGAGCTGCTGCCTGTGCTCTCTGCCAAACAAGTGTGCATACCTGTGTACATGGATGCGCTTTTGGAAATGCTGAGAGCCTAACCAGGGTTACACCACAAGGGAGGAACACCTGCCTTGTTGCTCAAGGGCCTGGGCATTATTTCCAGTATAGCAGAAATCAAAACAAAAACAATCTTCTTACCTGAAAACTAAACAATTTATAGAAGAACCCAGGCCCTTTATGGTATGACTTCACCATCACTTACACTTCACACCTGATATCCAGCCATGTTAAAAATGGTTCCTGGGAAACTGCCTGACTCTGGTTTTCTAGGGATGCCATTCTCCTCTCATCCTGTCTAAGAAATTTCTACCTGTATTTCAAACAATTCAATTTAAAAAGTCTCTCATGCTGTGTATACACTTGTGTAACACATGCTTGTGTGAGCACACGCATGTGGAGGCCAGAGGTAAACACTGAGTGTCTTCCTTAATTACTTCTCCACGTTTTCACGACAAGAGTCTCTCACTGAACACGGAGCTCTCTGGTTCAGGCAGACTTCCTGGCCAGAAAGCCCTCGGGGCCTCCTGTCTGCCCCTGCCTAGCATTAGGATTACAAGCAAACCTCACCACACCTGGCTTTTACGTGGGTGCTGGGATCCAAACTCAGGTCCTCCTGCTGGTACTGCAAGCACTTTACCCACTGGGCCAGCTCCTCAACCCACTGTTAGACCTCACTGAGACACTTCAGTAGAATTAATGGGTCCCAGAAACTGTGCTACCAATACTCCTTGAGTAGAGCACCATATAAATATCTTAAATCCTTGTGCAAACCATATCACAGTGTCCTCCCTTACTATTCTCCCTCATAGCCCATGCTGGCCTCAAACTCATAACCCTCCTGCCTCACATATGCTAGCATGTACGATCTACTATGCCTCGTTTATATTGATTTCCTAAGTCAAACTAATCAATTCTACTTGATTTTTTTTCTTTTGTTGTTGTGTTTTTGTTTTTGATTTTTGTTTTCCATTTTTGGGAGGGGTTTTTGTTTTGTTTTGTTTTGTTTTTTGTTTTTTGAAACAGGGTCTTGCTATGTATCCCAGGCTGACCTCACACTCATGAGCATACCTGCCTTAGTCTCCCCCAAGTACTGTGCTACTATACTCAGCCCAGATTCAAACTTATGAGCTACATAACTCGGGCAAGCTACTATGTAACACATCTCTCCTCATCAGAACAAGGCAAAAATAATGGTAGGTGCATCCAACATTTAGCACAGGTACATAGAAAATCAACTACTGGTAGTTAATGAATGTAATTTAGCAACAGAAGTATGTCAATTCTCAAACCATGCCAAAATCCAGTAAACAGAAAAATTAAAATAAAGGATTAGCAAAACTTCATAAATACTATAAATATATAATTTTTTGTTTTGGTTTTGTCAAGACAGGGTTTCTCTGTGTAGCTTTGGAGACTATCCTGGAACTCACTCTGTAGACCAGGCTGGACTCGAACTCAGAGATCCGCCTGTCTCTGCCTCCTGAGTGCTAGGATTAAAGGCATGTGCCACCATAGCCCAGCTGAATATTTTTATAGTATATAAATAATGCAGTCTTAAAGCTTCATGAATAAAAGAAAATTGGTTGTATGTAATTTAGTAATTACTGAAAACTACTTATTTGTATAGAACTTAAATTAACTACACAGGCCACTGCTCTACTCTTTGTTAAATTTATAAACATAGTGCAAAGCTTTAAAACAAAATCTTACTACATTCCTACCTATAAAATACTCAAAGGTAAAATCCTAAAAGAAATTCTGGGATGATGTCAAGTTACTACTATCTAGGGAGTTGGAAGAGAGAGAAATCTATCAGAATATACTATAAAATTCTCAAAGAATGAAAATATTATTAAAACAACAACAAACCCTCAAAACTAAGCAATTAAGCAACCAAAAAAACTAGGATATGTTTAGGAAGGTGCTTTTTAAATAAAATTTCATATAGACTAAAAAACAACAAAAATATAGAACTGGATTAAAATAACAAGAAAAGCCTAAAACTTTCTCTCCTTTCCCACTGAACCCATGTTCTGTTTTACACACAAATCTTTTCATCTGCATGGTCAAACATAGTGTCTCTTGAAACAAAGGGCATGTACAGTTACTTAGCACTGCTAGCATGGTCCAGGTAATATACTTATACCCTGTACTTATCATCAGCAACTTTTTTTTTTTGGTTTTTCGAGACAGGGTTTCTCTGTGTAGCTTTGCGCCTTTCCTGGAACTCACTTGGTAGCCCAGGCTGGCCTCGAACTCACAGAGATCCGCCTGGCTCTGCCTCCCGAGTGCTGGGATTAAAGGCGTGCGCCACCACCGCCCGGCTATCATCAGCAACTTAAAGGGAATTCTGTAGCTAACAGTCTATGAATTCATTTACTTCCAACTACTAAAAAGTAGTGTCATCCCCAAACACACAACTAATTGTTAAGACTCCTCACAAAAGATGCATGAGGCTAGGGATGGTGGTGCATTTGCTAATTCTAGCAGGTAGGAGGCAGAGGCAGGTGGGTTTCTGTGAGTCCCAGGTCAGCCAGAGCTACACCATGAGACCCTGTTTTGCGTTGTTTTAAAAAAAAAAAAAAAAAAAGGGGGGGGGGGGACCCGAGGTTGCACTTGAGTTAAGTCATTTGTTTTTGTTTTGATACACAGTTCTAGAGAACCTGAAGGTGTAAGGAACATATGTACTATGTTACAGAAAAGCATAAAATATCTAGGAAAATCTTTTATATACCCTAGATATTTCCAAAGAGATTAAATTTTACCTTTCTTGGTAAGCCAACAGAAATTCCAGAAACCTGAAACTGAAGAAAAGGCTCACCCAAGAGCACTGCTCAATCATGAAGATCAGAGTTCAGATACTAGAACCGCCATCAGGCAGCTCACAAGGTGTAAACACCAGCTCCAAGGCATCTGTGGGCACCCATATACACATGTGCATACATACATATACACGTAAGTTGAATAAACCTTTTTTTAAGTTCCCGAAAACAACCCTTAAATTTTCATACACACATTTATATCTACAAGCTCTACCATAGCTTTTCTTAATAATATTATATTCAAAAGCTTACCTCCTGTATACCAAGGCAGAGGTAATAGATGCTGTCGGGGGCATAATTCTCTCCATTTGGTCGTCGGATCTCATTGACAAAATGGGCTAGCCCATAGTTGAGCTCAGCTGTGGTATGAGAGAGTAGATCTTCTTTTAACTTTACTGATTTAGCTAAAAAATAAAATGAAATAAGTAACTGTTAAGTCTCTGCACCCATATTAGGCAGCTCATAACTGCCTTTATTTAACTCTGATGCCCTCTTTTGGCTTACATGGGCACTCATACACACATGGAATACATTCACAGACATACACATACAGACATAAATAAAATTAAATCCTGAGGTTGGAGAGGAAGCGATTAAGAGCAATGACTGCTCTTCCACAGGATTCAGGTTGATTGCCAGCACCCACATGGCAGCTCACAACTTCAGTTCCAGTGAATCCAATACCTTCTCTGGCCTTGGTGGGCACCAGACATGCAGGCAAAACACTCATGCACATTAAATAATAAATCCTTGGGGGGGGGGGGAGGGTTAAGATAGTAAATCTTAAAGAAAAATATTAAAAGTGACTAATTACAGAAAGCTATTTTTAAACAAAACTTAAAATAACAAAATCAAAACACTTACGGGATTTTAGCTCATCTAATACCAGAAGATCTTCATCAAGCTGCCTAGTTTTAACCCAATGTTTCCATGCATTTACACCATATGTATACTTGAAAGGAAAGCTGCATTCTGAATTGTCAGAACTATCATCATGAGACTGGTATCCTGATACAGCTTTTCTTTTGGTACCCTGGCAATAAAAAAAGCACTGTAAATACTTCAAGTCTACATTATTCCATGAATTCTATACAAGCTATCTTTAAAGAAAGGCAACTAAAAGAGAACTGTATTTGTGTTAGAATTGGCTGACACTCTGAGAACTCATGAAAGTTATCCATACTGCTGCTTGAAATCTAACTACATAAATGTTTCTATACAAATTATTTTGTATAATAAAATCAGAATTAATGAAAAAGACAAACAATAATATAGTAGTAGTAGTAGTAGTAGTAGTAGTAGTAGTAGTAATAATAATAGGGCTGGAGAGATAACTCAGCAGTTAAGAGCACTGGCTGTTCTTCCAGAGGTCCTGAGTTCAATTCCCAGCAACCACATGGTGACTCACAACCATTTGTAATGAGATCTGGCGCCCTCTTCTGGCAGGCAGAACACTGTATACACAATAAATAAATCTTTAAAAAAAAATAATAAAGGAAGCTGATTCTAAAAATTAACTTGAGACTGAAGAACTTTTTTTTTAATATTTTTTTCGAGTTTTTATTTATTATGTATACAGTGTTCTATCTACATGTAGACTTGCAGACTAGAAGAGGGCACCAGATCTCATTACAGATGGTTGTGAGTTACCATGTGGTTGCTGGGAATTGAACTCAGGACCTCTGAAAGAGCAGCCAAGTGCTCTTAACCTCTGAGCCATCTCTCCAGTCCCCGAGACTGAAAAACTTTCTAGTAACTTCAACATATAAGAAATTTATTCTTGCCGGGTGGTGGTGGCACACGCCTTTAATCCCAGCACTCGGGAGGCAGAGACAGGCGGATCTCTGTGAGTTGGAGGCCAGCCTGGGCTATAGAATGAGTTCCAGGAAAGGCGCAAAGCTACACAGAGAAACCCTGTCTTGAAAAACCAAA